AAGATCAGGAACAAGATAAGAATACATATTCTTAGCATTTGTATTCATATCATTTGGAAATCAGAGACAGTGCAGTAAGTCAAGAAGAAAAAGGCATACAGATAGAAAAATAAAATAAAATGGTCACTATTCATAGACAATACGATCACCTACACAGAAAATCCCAAGAAATCTACCAAATAGTGAGTTTAGAAGAATCATAGAATACAAGGTCAACACACGAAAATCAACCGCGTTTCTATATTAGCAATGTACAATTAGAAATTAAAAAAACAAAATATCGGCCGGGTGCGTGGCTCACTCCTGTAATCCCAGCACTTTGGGAGGCCGAGGCGGGTGGATCACGAGGTCAAGAGACTGAGACCATCTTGGTCTATGTGGTGAAACTCCGTCTCTACTGAAAATACAAAAAAATTAGCTGGGCGTGGGGCTGCACACCTGTAGTCCCAGCTACTCGGGAGGCTGAGGCTGTACATACTTTTTATATGTACAGAAGTTGTATGCTAAAAACTATAAAAGTTTTAGCTGATGAAAAATAATCAAAGAAGACCTAAATAAATAGGCAAATAATATTCATAGGTTCAAAGGCTCACCAAATTCATCTATATAGTTAATGCAATTCCAATAAAAATCACAGCAGGATTTCTTGCCTGGGTAACATAATGGGACCCTATCTCTACAAAGTATTTGAAAATTAGCCAGGCATGGTGACACACACCTGTAGTACTAGGTACTTGGGAGGCTGAAGCAGCAGGATCACTTGAGCCCAGGAGGTTGAGGCTGCAGTGAGCCATGTTTATGCCACTGCACTCCAGCCAGGGCAACAGAGTGATACTCTGTCTCTAAATAAATAAATAAATGTGGTGGAATCACTAACCAATTTTAAGATTTATTATAAAGCTACAGTAATCAAGATAGTGTATTAATGGTAAAAGGATAGACACATAGATCAACTGAACAGAACAGTGTCCAGAAATAGACCCACACCAACATGGTCAATTGATTTTTAGCAAAAGTACAAAGGTGATTCAATGAGGGAAAGATAAAGACTATCTTTGTTGATAAAGACTATCAACAAACTATGCTGAAACAATTTGACATCCATATGAAAAACAAACAAAACCTCTCATACTTTATACAGAAAATATGATGATTTGTTCTAAAACGTGAAGTGTAGAACTATGGAATTAAAAAGAAAAACAGGCCGGGTGTGGTGGCTCACGCCTGTAATCCTAGCACTTTGGGATGCCAAGGTAGGCGGATCACCTGAGGTCAGGAGTTTGAGACGAGCCTTGCCAACAATGATAAAACTCTGTGTCTACGATAAATTTAAAAAATCAGTTGGGTGTGATGGCACAAGCCTGTAATCCCAGCTACTCAGGAGGCTGAGGCACGAGAATCACTTGAACCTGGGAGTTGAAGGTTACAGTGAGCCGAGATAGTGCCACTGCACTCCAGCCTGGGTGACAGAGTGAGACCTCATCTCAAAAAAATAAGTAAATAAATAAGAAAAACAGAAAGTAGAAGTGAGGTGACGAAGGAAATGTCATGATTCGGGAAGCCTCGCATTAAGAAGTACACGCTATGTTGTTACCCTCCCAAGATAAAACAAAGTGTAACTGGAGTGCTAAGGCTAAAAGACAAAATACCACCAGAATTGATGTAATGTATCTAAAAATTGTATACTGTGAACTCAGGCATGGACTCTGTGAAGGAATGACACCTAAACCCAAAAGGGCAGCTGTCATTGCATCCAGTTCATTTTAAGAATTTCAATGGTTGGCCGTGCAATAAATGCTCTGGACTTTTTTTTTTTTTTTTTTGAGACGAAATTTCGCTCTTGTTACCCAGGCTGGAGTACAATGGTGCGATCTGGGCTCCTTGTGACCTCCATCTCCCAGGTTCAAGCGATTCTCCTGCCTCAGCCTCCCAAATAGCTGGGATTACAGGCATCTGCCACCATGCCCGGCTAATTGTTTTTATATTTTTAATAGAGATAGGGGTTTCACCATGTTGGCCAGGCTGGTCTTGAACTCCTGACCTTTAGGTGATCTACTCACCTCAGCCTCCCAAAGTGCTGGAATAACAGGCCTGAGCCACTGCACCTGGCCAATGTTCTGGTTTTTAAAAAATATTTTTAAAAAAGACAACAGGCTGGGCGTGGTGGCTCAAGCCTGTAATCCCAGCACTTTGGAAGGCCGAGGCGGGTGGATCACGAGGTCAAGAGATCGAGACCATCCTGGTCAACATGGTGAAACCCTGTCTCTACTCAAAAATACAAAAAATTAGCTGGGCATGGTGGTGTGTGCCTGTAATCCCAGCTACTCAGGAGGCTGAGGCAGGAGAAGTGCCTGAACCCAGGAGGCGGAGGTTGCGGTGAGCCGAGATCGCGCCACTGCACTCCAGCCTGGGTAACAAGAGCCAAACTCTGTCTCAAAAAAAAAAAAAAAAAAAAAAAAAAAAACAGAAGAAAATTGTCATGCCTGTGGTTGGGCAACGAGTTCTTAGACATCACACCAAAAGCATGATCCATAAAAGATAAAAACTGATGAAAATTTAAAAACTTTCCTCTGCAAAAGATGCTGTTAAAAGAAAAGACGACTACAGACCAGGGAAAATATTTGCAAACCAGGTATCTGTCAAAGCACTCATATGCAGTATAAAGAACTCTCAAAATACAATAGTAAGTAAACGAACAAACCAATTTTAAAAAACAGGCAAAAGACTGTTCATGAATAAACCATTTGCCAAAGAGGATATATGAAGGAAGTATGCTCAAGAAAAAAATGTTAGCCAGGCACGGTGGCTCACACCTGTAATCCCAGCACTTTGGAGGCCCAGGAGGGCAGATCGCTTGAGCTCAGGAGTTTGAGACTAGCCTAGGCAACATGGCGAAACCTTGTCTCTATGAAAATTACAAAAATTAGCCAGGCATGGTGGTGTGCGCCTATAGTCCCAGCTACTTGGGAGGCTGAGGTGGGAAGACTGGTCAAGCCCAGGAAGCAGAGGTTGCAGTGAGCCCAGATTGTGCTATTATACTCCAGCCTGGGCAATAAAGTGAGACTCTCTCAAAAAGAAAAAAATGTCCATCATTAGTCACTTGGGAAATGTAATTTAAAACTATGACAAGCTACAACTACACATCTATTAGAACAGCTATAAAAAACACTGACATGTACAACATGTATAACATGGTGGCTACAATTAATAAAAATGTATTATATTTTTGGAAAGGTAAAGAACATAAATTGATACATGTGTTAAAAATTCACAAGTCAGCTTGACTATGTTAATTTTAAAAATAAGTGAGAAACCCAAATTGAAAATATAAATCAAATTGTTAAAAATAAAACTAATGGCCGGGCGTGGTGGCTCACGCCTGTAATCCCAGCACTTTGGGAGGCTGAGGCGGGTAGATCACGAGGTCAAGATATTGAGATAATCCTGGCCAATATGGCGAAACCCCGTCTCTACTAAAAATACAAAAATTAGCTGGGCGTGGTGGTGTGCGCCTGTAGTCCCAGCTACTTGGGGAAGCTGAGGCAGGAAAATTGCTTGAACCCAGGAGGCAGAGGCTGCAGTAAGCCGAGATTGCACCATTGCACTCCAGCCTGAGTGACAAGAGCGAAACTCCGTCTCAAAAATTAAAATAAAACTAACTTATTTTCATAATTTTTAGTTCCATTTTGTAGAACAAAATCCCAGTTGAGCTATTTTTCCACTATTAACAATGAAATTTTCATTGTTTTATGTGGACTCACTAAGTAATCTTTTTTTCTTTGCCCATTATCTTCCAATGAGCAAGAACTCCTTTATGTTAAGATACACAGATGCTCCTTGACTTATGACAGGATTATGTCCCAATAAACCCATCACAAGTTGAAAATATAGGTAAAAAAATCCATTTAATACACCAAGCCTACTAAATATCATAGCTTAGCCTAGCCCACATTAAACGTGCTCAGAATACCTTACATTAGCATACAGTTGGGCAAAATTATCTAACACAAAGCCTATTTTATAATAAAGTATTGAACATCTCATGTAATGTACTGAATACTATAATGAAAGTGAAAAACAGAATGGGCATATGGGTACTCAAAGGACAGTTTCTACTGAAAGCATATTGCTTTTGCACTAATGGAAAGCAGAAAAATGTTAAGTTGAACCCATATTAAGTCAGGGATCACGTGTACATTTAAAAAAATTTATTTCCAAAATGTTGAAGGGGAGACAAGGTCTTGCCTTGTTGCCCAGGCTACCCAGGCTAGTCTCAAACTCCTAAGCTCAAGTAATCTTCCTGTCTTGGTCTCCCAAAGGGCTGGTGTGAGCCACCATGTATACACTGAAAAACAAAAAAAGACTAGAAGGATGTGTGTCAGAGTGATAACTATAGCAAGTTGTTTCTGAGTAATGAGATTTTATGTGATTTGTTTCAGTTTTCTAAATTTTCTAGAATGGGCTTATATTACTTTACTGATTTATTTTTTTCAGACAGAGTTTCACTCTGTCACCCAGGTTGGAGTGCAGAGGTACAATCTCGGCTCATTGCAACTTCCACCTCCCAGGTTCTGCCCCAGCCTCCCAAGCAGCTGGGATTACAGGCATCCACCATCACACGCAGCTAATTTTTGTATTTCTAGTAGAGATGGGATTTCACCACGTTGACCAGGCTGGTCTCAAACTCCTGACCTCAAGTGATCCACCCACCTTGGTCTCCCAAAGTGCTGGGATTACAGGCATGAGGCACTGTGCTTGGTCTACAATGGGCTTATATTACTTTGTCACTAGAAAAAAAAGGTAATAGAAAAAAAAGGTAAAGAACACTTTCAATACAGGCTGTGTAATGTTTTTTAAAGGAAATTTTGGAGCTCTGGTTTGTAAGCGTGGAGAAGGCAAGCAGCTAGGAAAACATGTGTCACAGAAAAGATCAGAAACCTGCTGGTGTTGCTGAAGAAGGTAAGAAAATTGGGAACTCTAGGAAGGGGAATGCTACTTACCTGAGACTGTTTGAAAACATCCTTCCCGACTACATCCAGGTTTGAGGGATCTTTGATGGAACTGACATACTCAGAAACAGCCTTGATCACCACATCACAGGGAGGAAGAACCAGCTGATGAGCCCGTACCTAGAAAAGGCAAAATAAGCAAGGGATGCTGACGTCAAAGACCGATCACTAAGAAAAAGGGTGAAGTTGAGGGGAGATATGGAATTCAACTTCGGTAAATCCACTGAGACAATTAAAATATTTTCTTTAAAAATAGTTTCACCCCCTCACTCTCAGTACAGAACACTTGGAAAAAACATGGAAAATTATAAAGCAATAAAAGCGTATCATCCATCTTCCTACAGAGATAACTACTGTTGATGACACTGTCATGATTCATCAGGCTTCCTTTCATGAGACATTTTGGCTTTTTTGCTATTAAACGTAATATTATAATGAGATGACCATGTTTGGATTCTGATTGGAACTAATCACAAGAGGCCATTTTAAGATAATCAGGAACATCTGAAAATGGACTGGATATTAAGATGATGCCAAGAAATCAGCACTGATTTTGTCAGGAGTAATAATGGCATTATGCTTATGTACGAAACGCCCAAGTATTTTAAGAGATGTACACTGAAGAATGTGAAAGGGATTTGCTTTAAAAAACATTAGCAATAACAACAAAACCCAGAATGTGTGGCAAAATATTGGTAACTGCTGGATCTGGAAGATGTTTAAATGGTGATTTACTATATATTATTTTTTCTGTTTTTGTGATGCTTACATATATATATTTGGAGACAGAGTCTCCCTCTGTCATCCAGGCTGGAGTGTGGTGGTACAATCTTGGCTCAATGCAACCTCTGCCTCCTGGGTTCAAGAGATTCTCCTGCCTCAACCTCCCAAGTAGCTGGGATTACAGGTACCCACCACCATGCCCGGCTAATTTTGGTATTTTTGGTAGAGACAGGGTTTCACCATGTTGGCCAGGCTGGTCTTGAACTACTGATCTCAAGCGATCTGCCTGCCTCGGCTTCCCAAAGTGCTGGGATTATAGGCATGAGCCACTGTGTCTGGCCTTCAAAAATTTTTTAAAGAAAACGTTTTTTTATTTTTTATTTTTTAAGATGGGGTTTCACCATGTTAGTCAGGCTGGTCTTGAACTCCCAACCTCAGGTGATCCGCCCACCTCGGCCTCCCAGAGTGCTGAGATTACACAGATGTAAGCCACCGCGCCTGGCCAGAAAACATGTTTAATGCTATCATAAACTATAGGTATGATTGATGTCTTGCCAATTATTTAATTACAATCTTTCTCAAACTGTAATTACTGAGGCAGAGGGTATCAACTTCCTAAAGGCTTTGATTTTTTTTTTTTTTAGAAAGAGTTTCATCGCTTGTTTCCTAGGCTAGAGTGCAATGGTGTGATCTTCGCTCACCGCAACCTCCGCCTCCCAGGTTCAAGCGATTCTCCTGCCTCAGCCTCCCGAGTAGCTGGGGTTGCAGGCATGTGCTACCATGCCCAGCTAATTTTTTATTTTTAGTAGCAATGGGGTTTCTCCATGTTGGTCAGGCTGGTCTTGAACTCCTGACCTCAGTTGATCCACCTGCCTCAGTCTCCCAAAGTGTTGGGATTATAGGCATGAGCCACCATGCCCAGCCAGGCTTTGAATTTTTATAAACTGTTTTGCAAAAAGGCTTTATTATTCATTCCTTAAACATTTACTGCCTTCTATGTACCAAGCACTGTCCTAGGCACCAGGGACACAGCAGTGAACAAGACAGACAAAAATCTCTGCCCTCATGGGTACTTAAATTCTAGCATAGATGTTTTGGGATAGAGTGACGGGAGTTAAACAAACTAAATAAGTAAAAGGTATAGTTTAAGCTGGGAGCGGTGGCTCACACCTGTAATCCCAGCACTTTGGGAGGCTGAGGCTGGTGGATCACCGGAGGTCAGGAGTTTGAAACCGGCTTGGCCAACATGGTGAAACCCCGTATCTACTAAAAATACAAAAATTAACCGGGCATGGTGGCGGGCACCTGTAATCTCAGCAACTCGGGAGGCTGAGGCAGGAGAATTGCTTGAACCTGAGAGGTGGAGATTTCAGTGAGCTGCGATCGTACCACTGCACTCCAGCCTGGGCAACAAGAGCAAAACTCCATCTCAAAAACAAAAAAAAGTATAGTGTACTAGATGTAGATAAGTACTGTGGATAAAAGAGAAGAGAAGCAGCTATGGAATGCAAGTATGTGTGTGCACATAATTTTTTTCTAGACAATCCCTACTGTAGAACTGTGTGCATATGATTTTTTTATAGGGTGATCAGGAAAAGCCTCATTGAGAATGAAATTTTAGAAAACCTTCAGGAGTGAAGAAATAGCTATGAGAAAAGAAAAAGTATTCCAAGTATAGAGAAAGATAAGTGCAAAGGTTCTAAGAGCAAAAGAAAGAAAGAAAGATCAGAGATATGAAAGGGGGCCAGACAGCATAGGGCTTTGTAAGCCATGGTAAGGATTGGAGAGTGACATGAAGAGCCATTAGAGGAATTATTTTTTGAGACAGAGTCTTGCTCTGCCCCCCAGGAGGGAGTATAGTGGCATGATCTCCGCTCACTGCAACCTCTGCCTCCCAGCTTCAAGCAATTCTCCTGCCTCAGCCTCCCAAATCTCTGGGGTTACAGGCATGCACCACCACATCTGGCTATTTCTTAAAAAATTTTTAGTAGAGACAAGGTTTCACCATGTTGGCTGGGCTGGTCTCAAACTCCTGACCTAAAGTGATCCGCCCACCTCGGCCTCCCAAAGTGCTGGGATTACAGGTGTGAGCCACCATGTCCAGCCAAGGATTCTGAATAGAGAAGTGACAGGATCTCAGTTAGTTTTTTTTTAAGTTAATTTTTTTTTTTAAAGACGGGCTTTCACCATGTTGGTCAAGCTGGTCTTGAACTCCCGACCTCAGGTGATCCGCCCACCTTGGCCTCCAAAGTGCTTGGATTACAGGCATGAGCCACCACACCCGGCCGAAGTAGGTATATGCTGAAGGGACAGCTGATGGTATCTGCTGACAAATAAGGTATGGGATATAGTAGAGAGAGGGGACATCAGGATGACCCCCAAGGATTTTAGCCTGAGAAAATGGAAGGATAGGCCAAGTGCAGTGGCTCACACCTGTAATTCCAGCACTTTGGGAGGCCAAGGCAGGTGGATCCCTTGAGCTCAGGAGTTTCAGACCAGCCTGGCCAACATGGTGAAACCCCATCTCTACTAAAAATACAAAAATTAGTTGGATATGGTGGCACACACCTGTAGTCCCAGCTACTCGGGAGGCTGAGGCAGGAGGATCGCTTGAATCTGGGAGGTGAAGGTTGGAGTGAGTTGAGATTGTGCACTCCAACCTGGGCAACAGAGCAAGACTCTATCAAGAAAAGAAACAAAACAAAAAGAAAGGGAGAAAGAGAGAGAGTAAGAGAGGGAAAAAGAAAGAAAGAGAAAGAGAGAGAGAGAGAGAGAGAGCAAGCAAGGGAGGGAGGGAAGGAGGGAGGGAAAGAAAAAAATGGAAGGACGAAGTTGCCTTCAACAAAAATGAGGAAGGCTGTGGGAGGGACAGGTTTAGGGAGATGATCAGCAATTTCCACCTGAACATATAACTTTGAGATGCCTTTTGGATATGTAAATGGAAGATATTGAGTAGGCAGAGATTAGAATCTGGAGTTCAAGGGAGAGGTCAGAGCTGAAGACATAAAAGTTAGGAGTCATCAACAAACAGATGGTATTTAAAGTCATAAGACTATATGAAATCAATCATATGTAGAGACAGAAAAGAGAAGAGGCCAGGCATGGTAGTGCATGGTAGCTCCCAATGCTTTGGGAGGCTGAGGTGGGAGGATTGCTTGAGCCCAGGAGATTAAGACCACTCTGGGCAACATGGTAAGATCCCATCTCTACAAAAAATACAGAAAAAATTAGCTGGTCACGATGACATGTGCCTGTAGTCCAGCTACTCAAGAAGCTGATGCAGGAGGACCAACTGAGTCCAGGAGTTCGAGGCTGTAGTGAGCCATGATCACCCCACTGCACTCCAGCCTGGCCAACATAATGAGACCCTTACTCAAAAACAAATAAAACAAACCAGAAAAGAAAAGAGAAAGGAACCAGAATGGAACTCTGGGCTGTTCCACAGAAGAAAAAAATTATTTTTATTTCTTCTTTTCTATAAGAAGAAATATAGAGCAGTAGCTTGGGTGAGGAGAGTGAGGTCAAGAGGGACTTTTTTAAATAAAGTTTTATTTTTAAACTTCATAAATACATGCTTATCCAATTGCAGTGACTCATACCTGTAATCCCAGCACTTTGGGAGGCCAAGGCGGGCAGATCACTTGAGGTCAGGACTTCAAGATCAACCTGGCCAACACAGTGAACCCGTCTCTACTAAAAATACAAAAATTAGCTGGGCGTGGTGGTGCATGACTGTAATCCCGGCTACTCAGGAGGCTGAGGCAGCAGAATCGCCTGAACCTGGGAGGCAGAGGTTGCGGTGAGCTGAGATTGCAACGCTACACTCCAGCCTGAGTGACAGAGTAAGATTCTGTCTCAAAAAAATAAAATAAAAATTAGCCACGTATGATGACATATGCCTGTAATCCCAGCTACTTGGGTGGCTGAGGCATGAGAATAGCTTGAATCCAGGAGGTGGAGGTTGCAGTGAGCTGAGATCATGCCACTGCATTCCAACCTGGGTGAAGAGTGAGAATCTATCTTAAAAAAAAAAAAAAAAAACCAAGCCACGGCACCATTAAAAAATAAAAGAAAAAAGAAAAAAAATCACATTCAATTTACATGTCTGATCATTAGTGAGGTTGAACATCTAGTCATTGTATTTTCTCTATTGCAAATTTTCTGCTTCTGTCCTTTGTTCATTACTTCATTATTGGGATATTAGTATATTTCTTTATAGATTTATATGAATTCTTGAGATATTAACGGTATTGATCATAACCAGTTTTTTTTGTCTTTTTTTTTTTTTAGATGGAGTCTCGCTTTGTCACCACCCAGGCTGGGGTGCAGTGGCATGATCTTCGCTCACTGCAACCTCCGCCACCTGGGATCAAGCAATTCTGCCTCAGCCTCCTGAGTAGCTGGGACTCCATGTGCCTGCCACCATGTTTGCAGCTAATTTTTGTATTTTTAGTAGAAATGGGGTTTTACCATGTTGGCCAGACTGTTCCTGAACTCTTGACCTCATGTGATCCATCCGCCTCCGCCTCCCAAAGTGCTGGGATTACAGGCGTGAGCCACCGCACCTGGCCAATTTTTTTTCTTCTGTGTGTGTGTGAAATATTTTAAATCTAATGTAAGATAATTATTTCATCAAAACTCAAATCAAAACCTCACATCCCCTAATCTGTATAGGCAAGAAATAGGAAACATTACCTTAAGTGATGCAAGAGGATGTTCTGGTCCCAAAAGGCTCCAGTGAAAAGCAGCCAGGTCCTCATCTGGGAGGATGTGGTTACCTAAAAAGAACATTTGTCATTTATTGACTGCACAAATGTTTTCTTAGAACCTCCGACCATGAAAGGGGTCCTGGGAGAGAAAATTATCAAATAATTCACATAGGTCTATATTCTTAATGTGATACAGTAGCTCTGTGTTGGTTACCTAATATGTTTCACGTGTATTATATGTAGCATCTTTATAATGACTATGTATGGTAATATCATTTCCATTTTACAGATAAGGAAACTGAGATTCGGACAAGTTTGGTGACTTGGCCCAATGTGGTGTGGCCACTAGGTGCACACACCAAGATAAAAAGCTAGGAATCTGAAACTCCAAAGCCCATGCTATGACTTATCCTCTAATTCATGTTGCCTTCTATAACAGCAGCCACCAATTACTAACTGCCTAATGAGTGCTGGGCATTTTGTTCAGCTTATTTCATTTCACTTTATGAATAACACCATAAGGTATTATTAGAGGAAACTGAAACCAGGGAGATGTCACTTCAGTGATTTGCTGATGGCCTAATTCCAAAACTTGTACTGACTCCATTGTATTATCCAAACTCATGTCCTTTGAGATTATAAAGTAAAGGTCACATCTGAGACAGGATATTAACCTTCATGTGCTAAGTACTTGAAAAACAAATTCAAAACATAATCAACTCTCTGCAATTTACTTTGAAATACATCTTTAAGAGATAGATTGGGCTAGACACAGTAGCTCACCCTTGTATTCTCTGCACTTTGGGAGGCCGAGGTGGGTGGACTGCTTGAGTTCAGGAGTTCAAGACCAGCCTGACCAACATGGTGAAACCCTGTCTCTACTAAAAATGTAAAAATTAGTTGGGCATGGTGGTGGGTGCCTGTAATCCCAGCTACTCAGGAGGCTGAGGCAGGAGAATCTCTTGAACCCAGGAGGCGAAAGTTGCAGTGAGCTGAGATCATGCCACTATACTCCAGCCTGGGCAACAGAGCGAGACTCTGTCTCAAAAATAAAATAAAATAAAATAAAATAGGCTGGGTACAGTGGCTCCCACCTGTAATCCCAGCACTTTGGGAAGCCCAAGTGGGCAGATCACAAGGTCAGGAGTTCAAGACCAGCCTGGCCAATAATGATGAAACCCCACCTCTACTAAAATACAAAAATTAGCTGGGCATGGTGTTGAGTGCTTGTAGTCCTAGCTACTCGGGAGGCTGGGCAGGAGAATCGCTTGAACCCGGGAGACAGAGATTGCAGTGAGCCAAGATCGTCCCACTGCACTGCAGGCTAGGTGACAGAGCGAGACTCCGTCTGAAAAAAACTAAATAGATAAATAAATAAATTACGAGATAGACTGATGGATGGGTAGAGGACTGGACAGATACGTGATACGACAATTACAGTAAAATGTTAACGGCAGAATATAAGTGGTGGATATAGGGTCCTTACTGCAAAACTCTTTTTCATTTTTGCTGTATATTTGGAAATTTTCATAAAATATTAGCACAAAAGAAACAAAGAGAAAAACATAATCAACAATTTGTCTTTCTGATCTAAATTTAGACACTGGGGAAGAAATGCTGATGCTCTGTTTGGGGATCCAAAGTTGTCCAAGGTTAATAAAACATTTGGCTTGAGAATACTCAGCATAAAAGAGTTACAAAATGTAGCAAAATAAGGTTTGCGGGAATCTAAATAATGTTCTGGAATAACCTGTAGCAACCCACAAACCAAACATGGAGTTTTAGTGTGGTCTACCAAGAAACCCAAATCCATGCTGAATTCCCCTAGCATGAGGGCTTTAAGAAGAAATTTAATGATGACAGGCTAAATCCCTTTAGTCCTCATCTCTTACCCCTGGAAGAGGAAATTACCAATCACTGCATTCTCTTCTGTGGATGACCTACCTAGCAGTGCAGCAAATATGGGAAAATTCACCCTCTTCAGGCCCAGCTGCTTGGCCACTTCTTGCATCAGGAACTGGTTGGTAGTGAGGTTCTTCCCATTCCAGCTCAATTTCAGAGCATGGGAACTGTAGTAAGAGGGAATATTGTAGAGAGCATACTCGGAGTCATGGGCAAGAAGGCCATGAAAGCCATTTTCCCTGAAAAACGCCACCACTTCCAAATGGTGATCTTCAAGGCTCTGAAAGACCTAGGAGGGAAGAAGAGAACGTGTCATGCCACAGAAGCTGATTTGTATTGTTAGAAGTCAGGAGGTTTAGCAACTAAATTCTATAGTTCGGTGAAATGTGAGATTACATGTGACAGAACAGAATATTCTTTTAAAATTTTTTACTTAAAAAAAAAATACAGACATGAGATCTCACTTTATTGCCCAGGCTGTTCTCAGACTCCTGAGAGTTCAAGTGATCCTCCCGCCTCGGCCTCTGAAAGTGCTAGGATTACAGGCACAAGCCACTGTACTGAACCAGAACAGACTACTCTTAAAAAACAAAGCAAAACCACTCTCCCAGTCCACAACTTGATTACTGTAAACACAGACAGCATTATACAGTGTTCATTCAAATGCCCAGTGTTTTTTTAACTCCTGTCATAAAACTTGCCCTGACGCTCTTCAAAATTAGGATACTGAAATTAACAAGATATATATTACTTAAGTTTTTAGTTCAAAAAATAACATTAGACTTCTGTTAGAAAGACAATAAAGCTATTATTTATTGCTCAGCATCTATGTGCTGTACATACTTTATACATATTATCCCATCATTAGAATAACCATAGTAAGGTACATATGGATGAAAAACTTTGATGCAGAAATAGACATAGAAATCTAAGTTTTTTTAAAGTCCTTGCTTTTTTTCTTAGTAGTACTGTACATTGCAGGGAACCTAAATAGTTGCACTTCCAACAGAGAGAAGTCAGAAACTTTACCCCATTTTAGAAATGGGGAAACTAAGGCTACAAGAGATTGGCTGCCCCCAAAGTTGCATAATGAGTGGGTGGTAGACATGATTCAAATCCAGGCTGATCTGACTCCAGAATGCACACTTTCTGTTGTACCGAACTTCCTCCTGGAGAGCACTATTTTTTATGTAATAGACGTAAACTGTTAAGTACTCTTCCTGTACATGCCTCTATTGCTGTACTTGAAGTATACTGAAATTATCTGTATACTGGCTCCACCAGATTAAGTTCCTTGATCGTAGAGAGAATTTACCTCTGTATTCCTGGCTCCCACATAAGACCTGGTACATAGTAGTAATAATAATGGCTAACAGATATTGAATATGTATTATGTGCATTAACTCATTTAACACAACAATCTTCTGAGGGCATACCTACTATTATTTCATCCCCATTTTACACATTATTAGCCCCAAGCTTATATGGCTAGAAGTAGCAAAGCCCAGATTTTGGCTCTAGAGACTGTGGATCTTGATAATTTTTCTGAACTCAACTGTCTATTTTTCATTTAAGTTGGAATGGTAGTTTTCTGGAGTCTAACAGGAGTTTAAATGCATTTAACTTTTGCTAGACCATGGAAAAAGAGTCATGTCACACACAAGGGGAGAGACACCAGCAAGCAGACCGTGAAGCACGGTTGGTATTTGTTTGATACCCAAGCAAAGGAGCGAAGTATTTTAACATAGTTATGCCTAGAGATATGAGTAACTCCAGGTGTGTCAGGGTAGGAGTAAAGTTTTATACTGTCCCCTGGTAACAGTTTCTTCCAGCATATCACTCAGACAAGTCATTGGTTGAGCATCCATTTACCTTGTACCACGCACAGTTGCTAAGTGTGGTATTTTCTCCCTCATCTTCACAACCTCACCATGCAGGTATTAGAAGCCCCATTTTACAGATGAAGAAACTGAGGCTCAGAAAAGTAAGATGCCATACTCAGAGCTATAGAGCTGGGAAACAGCAACCTGGGTCACACTGACACCAAAGTCTCTTGGTGTCACCAAATACCTTTTCCACTACAACATTTAATCTTTAGCTGGTCTGAAGCTAATTATGCCACCATTCAAGTGATTTCAACTCCAGAAAGCCATGGACTAGTGATTTCTAATCAATTTGGTAGCTCTTAGAACACTAGGAATGTACATCACAACCACCTGGAGATATTTTTCAAAATATACAAACCTGAGCTTCACCTCAGATCTGCTGAAATAATTTCTTTTTTTGTTTTTTTTTTTGAATCAGAGTCTCACTCTGTCACCCTGGCTGGAGTGCTCACTTCAACCTCCACCTCCTGGGTTCAAGCGATTCTCCTGCCTCCGCTTCCTGAGTAGCTGGGACTACAGGCGCGTATCACCACACCTGGCGAATTTTTCTATTTTTAGTAGAGACAGGGTTTCACCGTGTTGGCCATGCTGGTCTCAAACTCCTGACCTCAGGTGATCTGCCAGCTTCATTCTCCCAAAGTGCTGGGATTATAGACGTGAGCCACTGCACCCTGCCTGAAAGAATTTCTTGAGTGTGATCCAAACACCTCTATTTCAAAACAGCTTCCCATAGTTTCTCACGCACACCCCCAATTAAGAATCACTGAACTAATCCAATTATTCATTTTATCACATAGGCAACCGAGGTCTAGAGAGGATAAATGACTTGACCTAGCTAACTGCAGCCAAAACAAGATTAGAACAAAAGTCTCGTGATTCCAGGTATAGAACTTCTTTCACTGAATATTCTGGAGTAGGTAACGGAAAACAATAGAATAAGAATCTCACAAATCTCTCACTGTTCCACAATACCCCTCTCCTAACAGGCTAATTTCCCAACTAACCATTTCCAAGATGACCCCTGCTTCCCTGTCTTTGGTTTGGTTCACTTGGTTTCCCTGCCTAGAATGCCTTATTGCCTCTCTTTCCCAATGTTCTGAATACTGTCCATAGGCCTAACACCTCTTGGACAAATTCACTCCTATAGACAGAGATGGATGACATGATCACAGAACTAATTTGACAATACCATCATCTTCAAATTTTAAGGCCACAGGTTCTATCTTATCACAGGTTGTATCTCCGTGATCCTAACCGTGTCCTTCGAACTAGAAAGGACAGAGAACAGGACTTAACTGGTAAAGAATAGTAAAGAGCCGGGCACGGTGGCTCACGCCTGTAATCTCAGCACTTTGGGAGGCCGAGGCGGGTGGATCACGAGGTCAAGAGATCAAGACCATCCTGGTCAACATGGTGAAACCCCGTATCTACTAAAAATACAAAAAAAATCAGCTGGGCATGATGGCATGTGCCTGTAATCCCAGCTACTCGGGAGGCTGAGGCAGGAGAATTGCCTGAACCCAGGAGGTGGAGGTTGCGGTGAGCCGAGATCATGCCATTGCACTCCAGCCTGGGTAACAAGAGCGAAACTCCGTCTCAAAAAAAAAAAAAAAAAGAATAGTAAAGAAAGGCCTAGTCAGAGTGTTAAAAACAGGCTGGGTACAGTGGCTCACACCTGTAATCCCAGCACTTTGGGAGGCTGAGGCGGGTGTATCACCTGAGGTCAGGAGCTCAAGACCAGCCTGACCAATATGGAGAAACCCTGTCTTTAAAAAAAAAAAAAAGGAAAGAAAAAAAGAAAAACAGCTTTGGCAAAAGGGCACTATCATCTCAGCTTTTAACTTCTACAGCAGATGTAGTGAAATCACTAGATTGCAAGCTACCCACAGCTTGAGTAGCAAAGTAGTATTAGGTATCAGTTAAGAATCTACTATGTATCAGGCACTGTTCCAAACCTGCCTCACATCCACTAACTTTGCAATAACCTCAGGAGGCATTATTATCTTCATTTTACAGACCAGTGATCAATGAGGCTCAGAGGTAGAGAACTTGACCAAAGTCACATAGCTAAAAAGTGAAACTAGCCTGTAAGCACATGACAAGTTGCTCAACATTATTAGTCACTATAGAAATGTCAATCAAAACCAGTGAGGCTGGGCACAGTGGCTCACACCAGTAATCCCAGCACTTTGGGAGGCCAAGGTAGGCAAATCACAAGGTCAGGAGATCAAGACCATCCTGGCTAACATGGTGAAACCCCGTCTCTACTAAAAATAAAAAAGTTTGCTGGGTGTGGTGGTGGGCACCTGTAGTCCCAAATACTCGGAAGGCTAAGGCAGGAGAATCACTTGAACCGGGAGGCGGAGGTTGCGGTGAGCCAAGATCTCGCCACTGCACTCCAGCCTGGTAACAGTGAGACTCCGTCTCAAACAAACAAACAAAAACAACAACGACGAAAATACAATGAGATACAAGTTAGCACCCACTAGCATAACCATAATCTAAAAATTGGAAAATAATGGGTGTTGGCAAGGATGCAGAGAAATTGGAATCCTTGTAAATTGCTAGTGGGAACGTAAAATGGTGTAGTCACTTTGGAAAATGGTCTCAGAAGTCCTGAAATGGTTAAACATAGTTATCATATGATCCAACAATTCCACTCCTAAGTATACTCCCAAGAAAACTGAAAAGCTATGTTCACACAGAAACTTGTACATGAAAGTTCACAGCAGGCTTATTCATGACAGCCAAAAAGTAGAAGTAACCCAAATGTTTATCAGCTGAAATGGACGTGGTATATTCATACAAGGAAATATTATTTGGCCATAAAAAGGAATGAAGTACTGATTTATGCTACAACATCAATGAACTTTGAGAACAGAATGATAACCTGAAACATGCCAGACACAAAAGGCCATATATTGTATGACTTCTTCCATATGAAATGCCCAGAACAGGCAAATCCAAAGAGATGGAAAAATAAATTAGTAGTTGCCAGGGATTGTGGGGATGGGGAATAAGACTAGTAAGTACTGGGTTACCCTTTGATGTTATAAAAATCTTCTGGAATTAGTGGTAATAGGTGCACAGCACTATGAATGTACTAAAAACCATTAAACTGTACACTTTAAAACGTTGAATTTTATGGTATATGAGTTATACCTCAATTTTTTAAAAGTGGAGCTGGGATTCAAATTCAGCTCTGTTCACAAATCCCAAGCTCCCCTAAGGCTTAAGAACTTTTTATTACAGAAAATTTTAAACTTACAAAAGTAATGAACCCCCATGAAAGCATTACCCACTTTCAATTGTTATATTAAGTCATTCTTGTTTCATCTATCTTGCCCCCTCCTTTTTATGGTTTTAGTATTTTTTGTTGTGATTAAAAACCACATAAAATTTA